GGGAGTGTGAGGGGTGGGGATAAAGGAGGCTGGTGTGGTCGGGACAGGCCAGGTCCTGGAAGTCTTGTGAAGGAGGGTGGAATTTACCCCGAGGGCAAGAAAGAACCACTGAAATGTTTTTTTAAAGGCTCACATTTATAAATGTATTCTTGTTTTTTAAAAAAAGAGGGCCCCTTTCTGGCTGTGGGGTGAAGAATGGATTTACAGCAGGACAGCACCGGAGACAATAGTGATCCACAGAGGTGAATGAAGGCTTTATCTCCCCAATAGCCACTTGGCATTCCCAGATTTTCATTAGACCCTCTGCCTCTCCTCCCACTCTCAGTCCCTGTGGTGGGCATTTGGGTTGTCCCCCACTGGGGGTGGAACTTGACTGTCTAGGCCTAAGTCTATGAGCTCAGCCCATTCCTTGGGCCACTACAATTGGGTCAACGATAAGTCCAGTAAGAGTGACTATCAGCACTTGGGCTTAGGCGACTGGAAACCAACTTGCTTTTGTGTGCAGAACTTGGATCTGAGAGGATATGATGGCTGGAGCTGCTGCAACCACCTTGCCACTACAAGGGGAGAGCCTGGGGCCACTGGAGCCTATGACCTAGAACAGAAGAATAAAGCCAACCCAGTGAGAAATAAAAAATAAGTTCCAATATCATCATTTGAGCCCTGAATCTAGCTGTGCTTGAAGCCATTTAACCTTGCTTTTCAGTTCATTTTTTTGCCAAGCCAATTTGAGTTTGGTTTCTGGCTGATACAATGAAAGCAAACGGCTCAGTGCAATCCATCCCCTAATACTAACTAAATAGGAAAGGAAACACAATCCTACTGCCATAGAGTGAATGTGTATGTCATTCCCAAATTCATAGGTTGAAATCTAATTGCCAATATGATGGTATTTGAAGGTGGAGTCTTTGGGAGGTGATTAGGTCATGAAGGTAAAGGCCTCAAGAATGTGACTACGACCCATAAAAAAATAAATAAATAAAAAGACCCCAAGAGCTCCCTTGTCCCTCTGGTCACGTGAGGACACAGTGAGAAGATGATGATCTATGAACCAGGAAGCAGGTTCTCACACTGAGTCTGAGTCTGCTGGCACCTTGGTTTTGGACTTCTCAGCCTCCAGGACTGTGAGAAATAAATATCTGTTGTTTATAAGGCCCCCGGCCTATAGTAGTTTATTATAGTAGCCTGAATGGACTAAGACATCTACCAATGGTGTTGACTAGTGAAAAACAAAGTTTACCATCCAAAGTACTCTCGTGCATCATTGGTAAAAGCTAGTAGAATCTTTGTAGAGGAAAGTTAGGTACTAGTTATTAAAATTTAAATATTTATACCCTTTAACCCAGGAATTCCATGTCTAGAAATAAACTGTACAAACTTGAACAAGCATGCAAACACAGAAAGATGCAAACACGGCATTATTTACTAGAGCAAACATTAGAAATAACCCAAATGCTCATCAAAAAGAGAATGGAAAAATAAATGATGGCATTTCTGTACAATCAGAGCCATCACATGTTTGGCAACTCAAACAACAAATGTCTGACAATTAAGTTCGTGAACTTGTTGCAAGAGGGATTGTTCATTATGAATCTGTTCCAATTGGACAAACAGTTAACCAAGTTTACTATGTGAAAGTGCTTAAAAG